AATCTCAATATATATCACTTTTAGATAAATCGATAGTAACCATGTGTTCTTATATCTTTCTAGGAAAAGAGTCCTGAATTTATTGACATATTTTGCGTAATTCATTCCTAAGCTGAATTCTCGATCGCATCAATGTTTTCCAAAGCATAATAACTGCGGTAATGGAAATAGCCTAGAGATTTGAACAAGGAATTTTTTATCAAAAAAGGCCTCCTCGCAGCTCTGTAGCATTGAGTATAAAAATGTGCTCCGACGCTTGTGTTTTAGCAATTGTGCCTCAACATTTATTCGAAAGTATGAAATTCATGTCATTTGATAAATTATCTGTCCTCATCGGCTCATTTTCCCACGCTAGCTTAATTATTCGTGTGATGAGGAGAGCTACAAAATATGCTGATAACATTATATGGAATATAATAGAACCGAGAAATTGACTATGGTTACGACTTACATGTGTACTATACGTACAACCATGTTGGTGAATATGTGTATTCTCCATACATTATTTTTGCACATTTACACTCACCTTTACATATCTTTAGAGTTACTGTATTTCGTGGGCTCACACAGCAACCAATCAAAGACACTGTCCAGGGGTAAGCCTTCGATTGGCTAGGAGTAACAAACTCCTCTTCACCTGAAATGGCTGTAAATTTATAAAATAAGCCATTCATTGAAATATGCCATGAAGAAGGAAATTCACTCATATGGGATGTGAGGAATGAAACCTCTGGAAGCAGATGGCGTATCAAGTCATCCACGTAGTGATGAGCAACCCCAACCTTCGTAGATGGTCTCACTGACGTTGTTTGGAGAGGTATGAACTGGATAAAGAACAAGGAACTGCGTTGAACTGCGATATACGGTGAGATTAACCTCTCGGATAGTCACTCAAGCGGAGGATTTTGAGATTTTCATACGAACATTATTATATTTACCTTTTTCTTCAACAGGCGGAGAGCTAATGAGTTTCCAAGAGATTGAAAGATCGATTGGGAACCTACAGGTCCAATTGATTCACGATCTCGGATCTGTTGTGTGGGTAAAGCCTGGGGTGCCGCTAGTATAGGGCGAGAGCGCGCTGCTTTGAAAAGATGTGTAGTCGTGGTTCAGTTCTATTACACGTAGATCACGTTCCAAACCATGCTCGTATCTAAATATTCTTGTGCTAAACTCCACATATCATCCTATCGTTACAAAATGATTTGGTGAATATTAGAAATTAGCATTAGTCCGCAATTAAGGGCGTTGCGATTTTATTCGTTTTATGTGTTACAGGACTTGTAGCGCAGTGGCTAGAAGTGCACTGCAACGCACACGTGATTAATGATTAGATCCATTGCACAAATACCATTAATTCTTTGATCCCTTAGGAGTCGACAAAGACATGAGGTCGATCATGTTTAGTTGGCTGACTTTTCGCGTCTTCGTCTCATTTAGAACAATGGGTAGTCGACTCGAACATCGGTTTTGAAGCTTATCTTTTATCGGCTACAACAGAATGAATCGTTGACATGAAAACAAATTGTTAACATCGACTATCAGTACCACGTATCAGCCGCTTCGTATAAAAGAATATCGCTGAGTGAAGTTAGTTTATTTGAGTCAGCTCCACTTTAGAGCATTCAAATCGGTTAGCGCCGATGACCGTGATGGGGAAGTCGGCTCGAATACTTGAAGTCGTCCCTGAAGTAGATCGAGACGTCGAAACGTGTGCCCGACACCACTGCAACCTCGTGTATGGTTAGATTATTAAAAAAATTTCATTTTGTGCTTTAAACTGATTCTGTTCTTTATCACATTGAACACTATCAGGAACAACTCATTAACTAAAACTATTGCTCAAGTCGAATGTTGTCTACAACTAACTACCATTACCATATATCATTTAGACACCAGTGTCTTTGCTAATGTTGCTTTCGGATTATGATGTGTCTTATTTCTCCTTTTGTAGCTCTGCCATATCGCTATACGCCACATCCCATTCAAATGTATGGGAGCCCAAGCTATGGTTAGTCTTGCGATAATGGTATAGTGCTAAACCGCTTCAAAATGTCTGCAAGAAAATAGCATATCGCATGCTAAAGTGAGTTTCACACCATTTCCGCTGTCTCCATTCAAGTGTTCTTAAGGCTTGGACCGGATTAAAAGTTCTATCGAGCTGTGAAAATATGAAATGGTTAAATGATATTTTACAGGTAGCATGTGCCATATACTTCCGACGAGCTTCCAACATCACAAGGCGTTCACAACGGGGCTCTATGGAACCCAGCAGACATTCTAACCCCGATCCTTATGGAGATGGCTCAATCAATAATCGGAACAACCGTCCTGGTAACTACAACAGAAATAACTACAAAAGAAATAACAACTATGAGGAATCGACTCGAATCATCGCCTCTGAAGAAGACGAAGACTTTAAGACATTAACCGTGAAAGATTTTTTATCAAACTTGTATTAGCTAAAAACGTCTAAAGCATATTCTGAACTGAAAGTCGCTAAATAAATTATTGTGGACATGTCTCTAGAACCATTACAATGTTGTGAGGATGAGATTTGTGAGCATGTGATGCTCCCAAAGATACACTTTTTCAAAGTACATTATTGAATAACACGCACTTCGCGAACGAGTAATATTTTTTCGAAGAATAATCATGTAAATCCCAGGTATAAAACAAGGCAATAATTAGGATTCCTGAATCCCTATCAAGTAAATCTGGCGAGATCGTGTGCAAAGATAGCCGGCTTGTTCGGACCTCGCTCGCATGCGGAAATGTAGCAGAAAAGAAAATCACGTGGCAAAATGAGTGGCTGAAAAGAACATCATTCACCTGCTTATCTCTTGTTCGTTTTCCCTCTACGTCACTATGACCATATCGCTGCGAATGTGATGAATAATGGTCACAACCAGAGTTGCTCTAACTGTTCAGTCAAGCATGAACTTGTTTGTTAAATTGTTCTGCCTGGCGTATACTTTTAGATTCTTGATATGTTGCCCACTTCTATAAGTGTTTGTGCCGAGATTGCTGCCAATACCACATTTGCATTTGTCTTGAATAAGCCACAAATTGTATCTACTCCTGCCACAGTACGCCTCACGTAGAGGGCCCATATAGCGGCGTGTTCCATCATTACGGAGTTGACGAATCTGTACCAGACTTGTATGGGAGGACAGCAGTATTAACTTGGTACATCGATAGCTCACTGCCAGTTCGTGAACACCAGCTATCCATTCACAAACGTTGAGCGATGCCTGCCTAGTCGAATACATCGCGCATTCCTCAGGGAGTGATCGTCGCCGAGAGCTTCATCCTTTATCCTATTATGCGCCAGCTGTCAGTTCCAACTTACTAAGGAGATGCCTTTACAACCTCTAGAGGATCAAGTGACTTTGTTGCGTAACAGACTAACTGACTATTGCTTCTGAGAGTAGACAACTCTCACTCGAAGAGCTAATGTCCTCTATATAGTAGACTTCAAGTCACACAATGTTTGGATTAGAAAGCTACTGCATTACAATGTTGGTAGGGCTAGGTAATATACAGAAGACATCCTCAAGCAACTATAATTCCACCAAATACTCCAAAACTGCCAGATAATCATTTTTGATTTACACATGTCATGTGGTCTGCTATAAGAGCTGACCTGTAGAGCCCGATACACGTGTTTCAACCTTAACAGTCTCATCAGTCGGGAGGTACCCTTCGCATACTTTGCCATTCCTCTCGAGGCGCTCATTTCCCTATACTAAGAGGAGGCGACGACGAACATTTTACATTTCAAGCTTCTTAGTCTGCAAAACCTACGATCGTTAAGGCAATTCGGCGGCATGCGATTAGGCAACCATGACTATGTGCACCTGAGTCACTATATATTTCCCGTGGGAATCGAAAGAGATGGAATATTGGGTTTTCAAGGCAGTCGTACTATTTCATTTGTCGGAAAGCAAAAAAGTGAAAAGAAGAAACTACAAGCCAGAAAAAAACATGCATTTAAGGGGATAATTCGGACTGTTTAATCGTGTCTTATACCGTATTCTTACCAAAATAAATGTGATAGAACATTCGCAGCGATATTGACTTGTTGGTGATTGTCGATAATTTTTACAGTGGAGTTTTCAAAGACCTGGAGACTAGCCGAACCTATGGAGGAGCACTATATCGCTTTGAAGGTACAAACTTACCAGTAAGTGTACTCCGCTCATAAAACTTCTGACGGAAATGCGAGAGTTAAACTTTCTCAACGATCCTAGATGAAAGGTTTACTTGTGAGCTAGTAAATACTTAAGATAAAATGCAAAACTACTGCTCTCCGAGATTTACTTTTCCAAACCTACCTTCGCCTAACCTGGGAACTGAGAATCTGTATATTGCTATAGACTGAGTAATTCGATTCACAAAACTTTTACTTCGCTGAAACTTAGCTAATTAATTCAAATTGCTGCAGGGGATGGATTGTCTATAGGAAAGCAACTTGTTATGAATGGAGAATAAGTGAATCAACAATCATCCTGTATAGATGGCATTGCCGAGATAATCACATATGGGCAATGCCTTACTTTAGAATATTAGAGCTAATGCGACAACAAAGATCCACATTGCATGAGCTAACAACAGCTGCGGACTACTGGCTCGAATCGTTTGGAGAAGGCAAAAGTGCCGAAACGTTAGCCGATTGGAGAAAATTTGTAACAGCACAATGTGAGCAAAGCAATTTAAAGAAATACATTGTTCATTGGAGATGTTTAAACTGAAAGAGGAGAGTATTCCCATGAAGCACCACCCACCTATGCCGAGACTTAGCTGTGCCAACTGACTATACGGTTTCATTAAGGTATGGCATTCACAACTTTCTCAACGCAAGCTGGCTCAATACCGATAGCGACTGTGCCGCTACGCCGTCGACGGTTGGCTGTTGGCAGACAACGCGTTATAGCATTAAGAGGGTGTTGCGCAAAACTAGCGTTGGTGGTGAAGAACTGAGTGGTGAGCAAAAATACGGCCTTAGTCGGGAATCAAACCCGCGTTTCACCCATATGGGGAGACGCGTGCTAGCACTACACCACCAAGGCCCATTTGCATCACCACTCATTCACTTTTAAAATCCTGTTAGTGGGTTAGTGGCTGATAGCTATCATGGAGATATTGAATATGGGGTTCCTGGACGCTTGTTATGGAGAAGGGCATCTAGTCACATACGTGCAGGAGAGACAAAGGTTAGAGCTTCCACTGTTGTCGACTTTTTAATATAAGGTTGAATTTGTTCCTTATACAATAACGGCTTCAAGCTAGAGAAATCCACTAGTATAGAGATCAGTGATTCACCTGCCAACACGATTGTCTTTATACTCTCATAGGCTTTTGGTGCATATATATACACATAGTTATATATGTATATATGTATATATATATATATATATATATATATATAAGAACGCATGTGGCGCAGTGGTTAGAGGTGCTCTGCGTCGCACACGAAGTCAATGGTTCGATCTCGCGCTTATGGCTCACCAAGCCATCCATCCCTCCGGGGTCGGTAAATTGGTGCCAGATAGGTCTCAGACTTGTCTGGGAGGATAAGCAGCACCGACTCGGTTCAGCGGGAGGCCACCGCGAGTCATTGTAAGGGCCAGATATGCATTCAATGACCTCAAGCGAATTTTAAAAATTGAAGTCGAATGCATGGCGCATTCCTGAGGGATTGATCAACGCCGAGAGCTTTATCCTTTTATCCTTATATATATGTACGTGTATGTATGTACACACGTACTAATATGCGTATGTATATATATATTATATATGTATATATAAATATATAAATATATATATATATATATAAATGCATGTTAATATACAGATCTTATGTGTGAGGAAAACTCTGAGATTGAAGATATAGTTTAATTTTTGCTCTTACAGCACCCTACAAAACCTTTTTATGGAAAACACTAGTTTCAAAATTTCCGAAATTTGTGCTAGCAGATAACTAGTGAACTTCAAATGTAAAACTATTCACTGACCCTAACAGAGCGAACAAGAAAATTGAGTGTTAAACATGATTCTAGGTACTTTTCCGTTTTCTCTCCTCTGTGACCCTTTGGTTGAAGCAGGTTTTTTACTTCTATCTAAAGTATAAGTGGTCACTCTATACCTGTAATAACGTGAGTTCGAGCGGCATATCTAATCTCTCAAAAGGTTTGTTTTTTGCGCTGTATCAGACGAAATAAGATTCTGTTTCACATTCAAATATTTCTAGTTGACAAAGTTTTTTCCAAAAACAGTCTATAACCAAACAATAGCACAAATTTCAGCGATTTCAAAGCTATAGTTAGTTTTTGAAATGGGCCTTCTAAAGCGTTATAGCAGTCAAAAAAGCTAAAGTTTCGCACTGCAACTGGTAAATTTTCGCAACAGTGGCCTAATGTTCCCGCGCTTTTTGTAGCATATAGATTATATGCAAAGTGTAATCTTCTTTTGGCTACTACAGCGTTCTAAAAAGTTTATTCTGGAAACCAATCAAACTTTTGATATCGATGATATTTGCGTAATCGAATGTTAAAAATCTAGTGGAAAAGCTTTGCTTAGAAAGAGATGTTTGATTTCAGTGTGAGAAATATTTTTATCTTTGCTGTTAGAGCGCATTAAACATGTCGTATTGCTAATAAAGAATACCTCCAAAATTGTCAAAATTTCAACTATCGAATGGATATTGAAACTCTAGAAGAAATAAAAAAAATGCGTTCTCTCAAGAGATAAAAGCGGGATGCCGACGTGAAAAGTGATCCAAATTTGCGAAAGCTAATCTTCTTTTGACTCTTACAGCGCTATAAAGGATTCTTCTCAAAAACCATGTTCATTGTTGAAAATACTAGGATCTGTCCTATCTAAATATTATTAATTGTTTTATCCGGCGCGAAAACTTGGATGTGGAACAAAATTTTATTTCCACTGTTACAGCGCAAAAAACAGGCCATTTAGGAAATAGGACACATCTTCAAATTTACTTGATTTTATCTTATTAATAATTGCCAAAACGCCTTACAAGAGCAAAAACACCTATTTACCAAAGAACTTGAACAGGGTGGAGATGACTGGGTACCTAATTTTGTTTCCGCTGTCAGAGCGCATTTCACATTTTTTTACAAGGGCCAAGAGCGTATCGTAGTCGCCGTAGTTTGAGCTATCGGGTAACTATAAAAGCAAAGTTGCTTAAGGAAGAATGATTGACCGGGATTTCCATCTGAAGGATTTGCAGAAGTGGAAACATAGAAAGCTTATATCACATCATCAACTATTAGCGTCTTCTTCAGAATCAGACTGCTCCTCATTTTCTCTAACTCCCGCAGCGTCAATTGAAACTTCTTCATATAATTCTCCATTTTGATTTCGTCACTCCCTCAACATCTTCGCTACTGTCGTCCTGCCCGCTGACCTCTTGTTTGATTTCCTGAGCCTTTAGGTCATCCGCAAAGATAACTTCATCCTTCAAATTTCCCCAGGATGAGGCTTCTTCTACACGATAGTCGTAATGCGATTCTTCTACCTTCCAACTTTTTGCCGTTCCTGTGAGCTTCACATAGAGATCTGTTAGAACAAGCAACTTAACAAAAGGTCAAGGTTTACCTTTCTAATCTGTAGTAAACTGCATCTATCCTATGTTGTACATGTTTCTCTTATTTTTATCAAAGTTAATACGTTGGTTTTGCGCAGAATAGACGACATTCATCGGTCTTCACCCATTTCCTCTCCAGTGGTTTTTCAGTCCAGAGTTTTCTTTTTCTATTTGAAACCCTTTTAAAATTTCGGCAAATCCGCTAAGTTCATGAATAAACCTCATTGGGCTATTTATTCGGACTTTCCAACATACTTTTCCCCACTTCTTGCACCTTCGTCACCTAACTTATTAGCCCTTGGGCTTTTACCTTGAAATCTCGCCTGGCATGCTAGGCGGTCGCCAAGTGAGCGAAGCACTCTTCTGTGGCAATTGGGTAATTTTCTAATGGGATTTGGATTTTTTTTCGCTATTGAAGGAGGGTTTAATTGTCAAAAAATAGTTGAAGATGACATAGGAGACTTCAGTAAGGCTATCAGTAGTATAAACAACGCCGATGAATCCTCTGAAACCCCGCAGTGCTCAAGGAAAAAATCAGGTGCTCATGGAAGGGTTATATTTCGAACTGCTGTAGAATGTTTTTATATTATCTTCCCCTTATTTACCCATACTTCAATAATATTTACCATTCATTTCATTTATCAAACAGATTTCATTTTCATTAGTAGCTACAAATGGATAAATCGTCACTAATAACTTACGTTATCATTTAGTATTCCTGTAAGAGATATTGCGATACAGATCTACATGTTTTCGTTGCCTTAATTCCATACAATAGCCAAGTTTAGTAGAAATGATGCAGCTCACTGCATGCGATGTCAGTTGATCAGCTACTATTATTATACTTCAAATTCAAGCATAGTATTCGAAAAGGCCCTTTTATCACGCTGCAGCTTTAAAAATAAAATTAAGGTTTGCACCGGCCGCTCAGTACAACTGTTAGTTCGCTGGAAACAAGATAAGCATATGAGCGTGTATAGGAAATCTTGTAGTATCACAGTAACACGATTTATCTGAAATTTGTTGAAAAAATCCAAAAATCGCACACCATATGTGTGAAACACCAACGTGACCCTATCGATCGCGGACGCGTTATCAAATCCACTGCCACCGAGCACACAGCTCACACATTGGCCAGCAAACAAGTGTGCCAAGTGGGAGTGGAAGTCGTGGGAGTCGACCTTATTTTCTCTGTTACACTACTTTAAAACAATCTTTCTAGAAATAAACAAAGCACTGGATTCTTTTAATATTACGCTATCGAGCGATTGCTAATAGTCTAGAAAAAGAGCTCTGTACCGTGAGAAATAAGTGTGTGTGAAACACAAATGTTACCTCTCTGAGCAAAGTTAGAATTGAGCCTATCAAAAAGCAGTCATATAGCTCGTAAGCCAGAGATTCAAGGATACAGCCAAATATACCATTACAATCGGAAAGATTTTCTCTATCTAACGATTAAAAGTTCAATACAATAAAGCTCTTATTCCGTGAGAAATCTTCCAATGAGAAACGAAATCTCATTTTGACTGGTACAGCGCCAAAAATAAGCTACTCAAGAAATTAAACATGTAATTGAAACCCACTTGATTTGAGCTGTCGATAAACAGCAGAAACGTTTGGCAAAAGCAAAAAATACGTTTTCACCGAAGGCCTCAAGTGGCGCTGCCATATTAGAACAGTAACGATTTAAGCTTTCGAATGACCATTAAGCAATGGAAAGTTTTTGCCCAGCGAAAGGGGTCGTTTCATCATCCCCTGTTGTCTAATAGGATGAAGCTATTTTGATGAAACACCGTGCTTATAAGGGATTCTAAGAATAAAGTTGCCATAAAACAGCGATCTACCGAAAATTCAAGATAGAATATCACCCTATAACAGTCGATATGATTATGTAGTATTCACAGCAGCACAGTTACTATCTCAGCTATAACAAAACGACACCAAAAACAACCCCCACAAATGATCTTGGGTTTAAGAAAAAGGTAAAATGATAGTGATACATTTAATCAAAGCGCAATACGGAATCTGAAATCTTCAAGAAAGATAGCTTGATATGGCTCCTCGGCATCACATCAAAATATTCCGAAGCGTATGAACGCCAGTGTCCATGCAAAGATTTAACGGTCTTTCAAATATAAGCGACATGAGCTTGATACGATTCTGTCATAGCAGAGCGCTTCTAAACTCTTCAGGCTGGGAGGAAGCTACACACACTTCATTCAATAAAAATTTCATATCTGAATTCTCGGCGCTTACCGCTTTGCATATTCCTTGAAGGGGCCTTTCAATTGGCTGGTGCGAAATGGATGGCGGTTTTTGTTCTCTGACTAATCTCAAAGGCATGTTTAACAAGCCAACTAGAAGTTACCAAAGTCAACTCATTTGGCCGACTGGGAATGGGTTTGCCTATTCTTGTAGCATGGAATTTCGTGTCTCGGAATTTGATTACCTCGTAAAAAACTT